GATGTTTTTAATACATATTTTAAAAACATGAATAATTAAGTTTACATTGTTTTAACTCGCATATTAGCCTCAAAACAATTATAAAAAAATAACTTTAAACGTATCTAGTTGATTTATGCAACCGGCAATTACTTTTTTCCTAGGTAGAGTAGTTTTGGAATTAGAGATGGAGTAAAACCAAAATAATGCATATTACAGGGATGAAAAACAAAAAAAAAATAGTTTGCAGGGACCTAAAACAAAATGTGTCATATTTGTAGGGACTAAAAACATATTTAAGTCTATAAGTAATAAATTGTTGAAATGAATTTTATGTTGTTTAAAAGAAATAAATATGCATTGATATATATGAGAATAACGTGAAATTAAAATAACAGAAGCACCAAATGTGAAAATGTCAATAGAGTACATATGAAATGGACACACATGAAAATGAAAAAAATGAAAATAAATCTTAATTATGTCCCAACTGTGGTGAGACGGTGAGCTGGATATAGCATTCATGATATAAATATTAGAAATTTTTTTCTAAAAACTATTGAAATAAATTTGAGAATAAAAATATGAGTAGTTAAAAATTGAGAATATTACCCGAAATAGGACTAAAGTGATTTGAAAATTCCAAAATAAGACTGCCATGTTTTTATTCTCAAAATATGACTCATTACTGTCATGTTTTGGCAGTACCAGACTTCAAACATGATAGTATTTTCCAAACATGACAGTAGCTACTCCTATTTTGGGAATAAAAAATATGACAGTCCAATTTTGGAATTTTCAAACTGTTTTAGTCCTATTTCGAGAACTTTCCCTTAAAAATTACGTACTACTGTACTAGCTATTACAATCACTACTATATACTCCGTATATTTTACATTGTTAAATATGCTTGTAGTCGTTAAAAGTGATTACTATAACCATTTTTATGAAAAGTGAGATTTAAATGATTGGATGGGAATTATTATATTAATATATTCTAATAAACAAATGATGCTTACCCTATATCGAAAAAGAAAATCAATCATGTAATAACCTAACCGTCACTAGTCTTAACCTCGAGACTTTTTTGGGAAAAGTTTTTTTCAATATAATTGTTCACATTATCATATAAGTATCATAACAACTTAGAAAACTCATACGGAGTCAGTGAAAGACCCGGAAGTTTTGTCAAGCGAGGGCACTGCCGCATAGATGGGGAGTGCACATAGATGGGTCGGGTTGGGTGTTTAAGTGATCCATTCTATTTAGTTCGTTCACAATGTCAAGTGACACACATCTATGGATTATAGTCTAGTTCTAAAACCATTAAATGATCTTAAACATTCTGAAAGAAAGACATAATTCGGATTAGAAATGACTCGTCTAGTAACTTTGGAATCAATTATTGTCACTAAAAGTTACAAAGTCTCATTTTTTTGTGCACAACTTTCTCAAGAGTAATATTAATAGAATTTTTCCTTTAGATAAAGAAAGAATCAGGAACTTACTAAAGGGCAATCCGATGCTCCCATAGCCCATCTTCTTGGAACTTGCGCGTCTAATTATTGGTGTCTAAATATTGTTATTGTTATTGATAATAATTACTACCTCCGTCCCCCTAAGTTTTGGGACAAGAGAAGGTGACACGGTTATTAATAAAAGTGGATTTATGTGGTTGGTATTGAATTGATAAAGTAAGAATAAAGTATGAATGATTTAGAACTACACAAAATTGATCAAATAAGGTATAAGACAATCTTAGTGGGACGGACCGAAAAGGTAAAATGGGACAATGATAGCGGGACGGAGGGAGTAGTTTCAAGTGTCAATCCTCCTGGATTAATTGGCGAACCTAAAAGGATAAATGTGACAATCGCATTAGGATGGAGGATATTACGGAGTATATTGAAGTCCGATTTAAAAAAAGTGACTATTATTACACACACTTAAAAGTGTAATAAAATTGAAAACTTATGAATTTCACCATCAATTTATTAAGTCATTTTGTTTAATATGTCGTCAATAACTATCAGTGTCATTGTAGCCGTCGAAAGTGTGCTTAATGGCTTTTCCAGTAATTATTCAATAATTCTTGGTGTACACTCTACGTTACACCCTGGAGTACACCCATTTATTTGTCCTTCTCACAGACAAAAAACACACAAATACAGACACTTTCATTGAAAGTGTCAGTGTGAGTAAAATTAGTTTCTAGATCTGTCAGGCTGGTTGCACAGAAACCAATGTCGGTGTACATAGACATTAGTTGTCTGTGTAAACAAAAAAGTGTCGGTGTGAAAAATTAATTGGAAAACAAGTGTTGGTGTACACAGACATTAGTTGTCTGTGTAGACAAAAACGTGTCGGTGTGAAAAAATTAGTTGGAAAACAAGTGTCGGTGTACACAGACGTTAGTTGTCTGTGTAGACAAAAAAGTGCCGGTGTGAAAAAATTAGTTGGAAAACAAGTGTCGGTGTACACAGACGCTAGTTGTTTGTGTAGACAAAAAAGTGTCGGTGTGAAAAAATTAGTTGGAAAACAAGTGTTGGTGTACACAGACGTTAGTTGTCTGTGTAGACAAAAAAGTGTCGGTGTGAAAAAATTAGTTGGAAAACAAGCGTCGGTGTACACAGACGTTAATTGTCTTGTATAAAAAAAAGTGTATGTATATATACAATTTTCGTCTGTGTACACAGACACTATAGCAAACCAGTGTCGGTGTAGATAAAACGTAAAAGGTGAGAAAGAAAGAAAAAGAAGAAGATGGTGATGAACATAATGAAGATGATTAGGGTGAATAAAACCTAAAAAAGAGAAGGAAAGAAGAAGAAGAATAAGAAGAAGATGAAGGAGAAAGGAAGAAAGAAAGAAGAAAGAGCAAGATGTTGAAGAAGAAGAAAAGGAAAGAAGAAAGAGAGGAGGGAGGGGGGTCCGTATGATTCAAATGGGAGAGGAGTGGAGAGAAGAGAGTGGAGAGAAAAAAGTTGGGAGGGGAGAAATAAGAAATGGGGGGGTTATACAGGGTGTACACCAAGGTGTAACCCAAAGTGTACAAAAACAATTTTTCGTAATTATTTTAAAAAAGAATTGAAAACAGGAAAATTTCCCAATGGGTTGTTTTTCCTAGTGACTTTTCAGACGGTGGGTTCTAGCTAGAGTGGGGCAATATACCGAAACTTTGATGTACCACACTTCCCATATGAGAAAATATTTAATTACTGAAAGTTCAGGTATACCGAGTTACCGACATTTTCGGTACGATATGGTATCGTACCAAATTACTTTGATATAGTATCAATATATATTTTGAAAATAGAACGTATACCGAATGATTTCTTAAAAATTATTTAAATGACTAGAAACACATCATCTTAGGGATAAATAATTTTATATACATGTCGTTTGAACAATTTTACATTTTTATAGAGATCATTATTGATTTATTTATTCTATGTTTAAGTTATTTTTGAAAATGTGTTGTTTTTAGTATGTGGTATGTTGAACTACTTAAATATAGTTATAATAATTATTGTTCAATATAATATTTGAATATGACAACAATATGTTATTTTATTTTGTTATTTTTTAATAATGATTTTAGTATATCACGACTCACGAGTAACACCGGTCTTGCACATTTCATTAGTGAGTAATAAATTGTTGTGTTGAGAGATATGCATGGTAATTTACTCATACCGTACCTTTACAAAACTTTACAAAATTGAAACGATTCCGGTATACTCAAATTTAGGTAAAATCAATGTTCTAAAAGGCGCTAGGCGCTAGTCGGGCGCCAGCCCAACGCCTAGCGCCTAGGCGGCTAGGCGGGCGCCTAGTCGGGGACTAGTCGGAGATATAGAAATTGCATTTTATCTATATTTTTGCATAAATATGATATGTAATATTGTATACTTGTGTGGAATTATCACATATAATCATACATAGTATATGATAACTAATCACTTGACATCATTATGTTATAAATATAAATAATAATAAAATTTAGGTACATATATATACAAACATATATAGTCTTTATCTTAATATATGCAACTTCATTTCTTTATCTCTGCGACTAAAGTTAAAGTACTTATATCGCTTAAAAAATTAAAATTATAAAGTAAAGTAATGTACGGTGAAACTAGACGACCTAGGTGGCCGATTAGGCGCTCTGGCGGGCAACTAGGCGCCATAGGTGGCCGACTAATTCACCTAGACGGCAAACCAATTAGTCGGAGCGCCTAGGCAAAAATCGGAGCGCCCGACCACCGCCTATCGCCTAGGCGGGGCTAGTCGGACGCCTAGAACGATTTTTAGAACAGGGGCTAAAATAATGGCATGAACTTTTATATACGGAAGATTCCGATACAACAAAAGTGATCATAAGATATTCACTATACCGTCCCAAACCCTTCTACTTCAACTTTGACATTTTTTTTTTTGCAATGAGCTAACTTGACAATTTGACATTGCCAAGCGGTGACTGTGGTCATTATATGTGAATGGCATTAATTACCTCATGCATTTCATTATTTCATGAGTAGGAAATATTCACCCGTTCAATTCAACAAAAATATATGACATTCTAATTAGAAAAAAGATTGGGGTACACACTCTTTGTACACAAAAAGTGTACACTTGTCTGTCCCTCACAGACAAGTTGTCTGTCGCGAGACAAGTGTACACTTTTTGTGTACAAAGAGTGTGTACCCCAAGCTCCACCCTTCTAATTAACAATATGATAAAATTAGATGAATCTGCATTACATGGGAAATTTGTATGATGCAGTACAAATCATTATGTAACTAAAATAAATAGTCGTTCCTTATAACTTTGTCCAGTTTGATTGACATGGGGAATAACAAAATTTGTGTGATTGAAGTTTGTGTAGAAGAAAGAGGTAAAATATACGTAGTAAGGATAAATGATGTTTTTACTTGGACTGTTTTCAATCCTATACCAGATCAGGCCAGACCAGACTAAACATGGACAATTGTAAAATATACAGTGACTTGACATTTACCACACTAGACCAGTTCAGACAGATCAGACCAGACCAGCAAATTTCGGTCCAAATAAAAACATCCTAAAAGAAAAAATAACAAGGTTTTTGGACAATCCAAAAAAGAAAGATGGCAAATGGATTATGGATGGAGCAAATATCTTGAAAGTTTATCAGATGTATATTAATGCAATCTCCTTGAACGTAATGTCCATGACAAACAAATGTATCATAAAGCTTGCACCAGGAGCAACCGGGGTGCACATTATTGATTTCCGAATTCTGTACGGTTTTTATGGCCAAGTCTCATCCAAGGTCACTTGACAAGCTAGGCCTGGTGGGCCTCCAACGCTTCACATAACTGGGATAGACTTTATGCAGCCTGGTTTCCATCCTGAAGAGCTGGTCCAGGTCGTGGCCTAATACTGCAAACGATACAACGTACCATTTGAGTTCAAAGTCGTAGCAAAGAAATGGGAGAGCATAACACTTGAAGACCTCGATGTTGATGGGGATGGCGACGTCCTGGTTGTCAACTGTTTGGACGTGCTAGGAATGGTGCCGGACGAGACAATGGCGCCACATAACAACCCAAGGATATTGTGTTCAATCTGATTAAGAAAATTAATCCAGATATTTTTATCCACGTGGTTGTGAATGGGGCCCACAGTGCCACATTCTTTGCCACAAGATTCCATGAGGCACTCTATCATTTCTCCTCAGTGTTTGACATGTTTGATGCGACTGTGCCAAGTGAAGATAAGGACAGGCGACTGTTTAAGGAAATGTTGTGTGGAACTTGGAAGAGATGTGTTGAATGTGATCGCTTGTGAAGGAATGGAGAGAGCCGAGACTCGAGAGGCCAGAGACATACAAGCAATGGCATGTCCAAGGGATCCAAGCCAAATGGCTGGACTCCCGCAATTGCCACTCGATCAAGAGATCTTCAATTGTGTAAGGGAGAAAGTAAAATCACAGTACAATAAGAATTTTTACATGGGAGAAGACGGAAACTGGCTATTGCAAGGATGGAAAGGGTACACCATGCTGTCTCCTATTAGAAGCCTAATAACAACTAGTGGAAATGTATGTTAACCGGAATAACAATGTCTATTATTCTTACGATTATCTTTATCATTCTTTTTTTTATTAAATTTATTGATGAAAATATCACTCTTAGTCGAAATATATCAAGATTATATTAATATATACACTATATAAAAAAAATACTACCTCCATCTCATTTTAAGGTTCCCATATTCATTCTTCGGAGGTCCCTTATTCTAGCCACCATGAAATAAAAACCTGACGAATAGATACGATCTGAATATATAGAAATAATCTCAAGAATGCCCATATAGTTCCAATACAAATGTTCTCATTTCTATTTTAGGAAATAATTAAACTCTTAAATGAAAACTTAATCATCAAATATAAAAAATGATGCATCTATGACATCACAATTATCATCAATGACCTCATGATCTTATCAATCTCATCAGAAGTATTTCTCTAATTATACACAAAGTACCTAATTTAATTAGGGAAAATGGAAACTAATAATCCAACCTTTTAGCGGTCTTCTTTCAATAATCCCACCTTTTGATTATTCATGAATAATCCAACCTTTGCACCTCATCTTCATTCATTGGTCTCTGGTCGGTTAATGACCTACTATTCCAAGTTATTTTCTTAGCTTTCCAAAATATTATCTTTGTGAAAGATGAGATTTATGGTATAATGATTTGCAAAGATAAGAAAATAGCTTGGAATAGCAGGTCATCAACCGGTCAGGGACCAGTGAATGAAGATGAGGTGCAAAGGTTGGATTATTCATGAATAATCAAAAGGTGGGATTATTGAAAGAAGACCACTAAAAGGTTGGATTATTAGTTTCCATTTTCCCATTTAATTATTGTCTAAATAACATTGTCATTTTGCAATGAGAACATATATGGAATACCTAATTCAGTTCTTTTCATTACTAAAAGAATTATGGAATACCATTTATACATAGTCTAGCTTATTTATTTTTCATATGAAACCAATGTTTCATATAAAAAAAATTATTTATAATAATATTTACAATTTAGGATGGTTTTAAAATAGGAAATATGTGATTTTATCTTACCATTAATGAATTGGAAGGGTACATTCTAAGCTATAATAAAACTATACAATTAATCGGAGTGATAGCTTAGACTAATTTTGAGCTATTGCTTCGATTAATTGTGTGTGTGGAAATTTTGTCATGTTCAATTAGAATTCAACAAAGTTCGATACATTATTTATGTGAAATTTTCTCAATATATCCAAAAAGGCTCATAGGTTATGAATCAGGTATCTACTTTCTCAAAAGGTAATATGCACATGTTGTAAAATTATCGAAAAGATCACATCCTAATAGATTTTAGTGTATCTTGAAGATATAATTGATGTATGATAATACAATAATGTAATAATCCAAATTAAGGTATTCAAAGTAATTCTCACAAGGTGGGGGGACTAGGCCTTACCCAAAGAAAACAAGAGTGAAAAAAGTGAAATAGCAAATAAACTAGTATCTTTACCCGTGCCGTGCACGGGATAAAATCATTTTCTTGTTTAATTTTACTAATGGAAGATCACTAATTTAGTCAATTATAACCAGGGGCTGAGCTAGGGCGCTTGGTCGGACTGGACCGATACAAAGAATATTTTTGGAAAAATGTTTTCACAAAATATTTTACACTAAAAATATAGATAATTTTTAAATTTGAGATGAGTCAGGGCCTGGGTTAGCCTCCCTAGCTATGCCCCTGATTATAACATTTCTTAAAATGCATATTCTACTTTATTGAGTATGCCCTACTTTAAAACTAATTATCTAAACATGTTTGTAGTCTACATTTTTCAATGAAAAGAGCATACAGAGTATTTTCTTATAACTTTCAATTGCATCCGGTTGAAAGTAATCTATTTTCAATTTGGGACTTGGCACATTAGGGTAGACTTATCCCTCATCCCCTTTTCCCTATAAATATAAGGCTTTCCCTCCATTTTATGGGTTGGTCTCTTCTTCCCTGATATGCACTAATTAGTAGTGCATAAGTGTATGTTTTTATGTTTGATTTGTGTGAATTGTTTACCGTTTTATTTAGTTTGTAAACATTTGTGTGATTTTAGTTGTAATTGTATTTTAATCTTCATTTGTAAGTTGTAAAGTAGAGTTAGGAATTAGGGTGTTGAAAAGGAGGACTTTGAAGTGAAGAAAAAGGTGATAAGTGTGCCCAGGAGCACAAACCTGGTCGGGTCAGACCATGCACCCGGTCGGGTCTGATGTAAAATCCGAAACTGCCTGGAAAATCATTAGACCCGGTCGGGTCCCCTACTTGACCCGGTCGGGTCAGACTTGACCCGGGACACCAGAACGTGCCGAAGATCGCCAAAACGTGGAGGATATCTGATTTTGACCGGACCCGGTCGGGTAAGCACCTAACCCGGTCGGGTACCCGGCCCAAGGTGTTGAAAAACACCTATAAATAACCCCATTTTCCTTCACAAAGAATAACTCCTTCTTCCATACTCTTAAGCTCAGTTTAGAATAGTATTTCTTTTATATTTTTATAGCATGTTTAGTCTCCAAATGAGGAGCTAAACTTCCATTTCTTGGTTTTGCTCTTGAAGCTTGTTGATTATTAAAGTTGTGAGTTATTTTCTTACTTTCTCCTCTTGATTATTAATTTTTCCCTTAATCTCATTCTATATTAATGTTGGAGGGTGGCTAAGTGACGATTAGTTAACGTTCCGACATTGATTATTACTAGAAACGATCAACGAACCGATGGTTAAACGTTGATGGTTTCACAAGTAAGTAACTTCTGTTTATTAATGCACGGTCGTGGTTAATAAACTTAAGAGGGATTAATTTTGTTGGTTAAACCGAAACCGTTGTGTTGAGGTTATCAATCTTAATTGATTTCATCTAGGAGTTAAAGAGGTTAAATGCTACTATTATATCGGTATACGGCGTTGTTCTATATTTGATTGATAGTAAGGGTTATTAATGAACGGTCGTTGTTAATAACTACCCTCGATGAATTGGAGATACTCCGCGATTGAGTATTCGAGAGGGGATAAGTTATAGATATAACAATGATCGACTAAAATATATCAATAAGTGGAAAGTAGCAAGACCAAGTTCCTTTTATTCTTGAATTTAATCCTATATAACTCGTTCATCTTCGTGTTTAAATTAATTAAATCACTCAACAATCAAAACCCCCCTTTATTTACTCCTTTCATTAAAAAGATAAATTATTCCTTTCCCTGTGGATACGAACTCTACTTCACCTATACTACGTATAAGTGTTAGTTTTGAACTTTATTTTGAGTGCACTCACGACAAAGTGCACGTCATTCCCCATTTCTCCTCCTTCTCTCTAGAATAGATTAGCTAACTTTATCCTCCATTAATGGGAGCTTCAATACTTGTACTTTGTAATGGTGAGGAGAGTCCTAATGAGAAGGAGAGGGTTTGGACATTAGCCTAAAAAGTCCCGTGGTTTTCTCCCTTTCGGGTTTCCACATAAAAATAGGTTGTTCATACACATTTATACATATATTTACTATATCCTGTTGGATTAAACTCAACAGTACTATTTGTCTATTTGGTCATGAATTTGAGATAATTTTTCATTTTTTAATATGGGAGATTTATTTTTGTTTTCATTGAATAGTTTGACATGTTTATATTTCAAATATATATTAACTACCACTGGATGTAAGAATCTTTTTATACATTTATTTCATCTAACCTTCTAGGTAATAAAAAACCGTCTACTAAAAGTCTAAAACATGCAATCTTTGTTCGGTCGATCACTCTAATTTACTTAATAAGATCATACTACTGTCATTTTAAAAAAATCTTAATACTCTCAATAACTCAATCTAATGAAAATGAATGAACCGCTACCAATTGCATTATGCAAACTGTTGTCGCAGCCACCGCCTTCATTAAAATCGGAATGTTAAAAAACTATTATGTATATATTATAAACTCTGTTTTTAAGGAAAGGATCGAAAGATTAATTTGCTATGTTCTAATACAATATCTAGAAGGGCTAATATTTTGAAATCAAATAACTTACTACACCCATTTTTAAATAAATAAATAAATTAGAAAAATGTGTAATGAGTTTTGGAAAAAACAGTAAGTGACAGATTAAATCTAATGGATAAAAATGGGCACCGAGCAACTTCTTTTTATTAGGTAAAGATGCTTAAAAAAGAATACGTTCATTTTGATGCAACTGAGAGTTATAGAAAATGACTTTTAATTGGAAAAAATATAGACGGAGAATATGTTTAGATAATATGTTAAAAAATAATACGAACTCCGTAAGGCATACTCAATGAGAATATGCATTATGTCAACCAATGTTATAATCAATTGAATAAGCGACTTTTCAATATAATAATGCATATGTATACCAATACTCGTACACACACACATATTAAAACTAAAAAATCATTTTATCCAGTGCACGACACATTTAAATAGAATAAAATGTAATGAATTTTTATATTCTTTTTGTAATAGTCATAGTACAAATAAAAATATATATAACACTTTAAAAAACATTTATTTATTAAGTGCTAATTTTTTTTATTTTATATATATATATATATATATATATATATATATATATATATATATATATATATATATATATATATATTCAATATTGGTGTCATATGAAAGATAATAAAAAATTATAAATTATGATATATTTTTTGTTATCATCAGAGTACAAATAAAAAAGTTATAACCCTTTAAAATAATATTGGTTTTTATTTTTTGAGTTCGAAATTAAGAAGTTTTCAAAATTAACGTTACATGAGTTCGAATCTATCTCAAATACCAAAGTAAATTAACGTAACATCAATATAAATAATTTACTAAAAAAATATAACACTTTAAAAAACAGATATTTATTAAGTGCTAAATTATTTTTTTATTTCTATATATTCAATATTGGTGTCATATGAAAGATAATAAAAAGTTACAAATTATGATATATTTTTTGTTGTCATCAGAGTACAAATAAAAAGTTATAACCCTTTAAAATAAAAAGGGATTTTATTTTTTAAAGTACGTAGCTTTAGGAAGTTTTCAAAATTGACATTATATAAGTTCGAATCTATCTCAAATACCAAAGTAAATTAACGTAACATGAGTATAGTAATTTACTAAATTAGAAAGAAAATATAAAATATTAAAATGAAAGTTTGCTTAGATGTGACCGGAAAAGTCCATGCCACCAACGTTGGGCCAAAACTTGAATGACCCATATTCCCAAACTCCAATCACCATCAATTCCCAGGCTCCAAAATAATTAAGCCCAATAACGCAACCTCGGATCATACTTCTCAATTCTCAAATGCCAAAAGAATCTCAAACAAAACTCATCAGGGCCCTCTGGCAGTAACGTCCTACCCCAAGCAAAATCTGCAAAGGTGCTTTAGAAAAAAGCCAACTAATTCCCACTCCCCAGGGCCCAGGCGATAACGTACAAAAACAATAATGCGTACAAAAACATCTTTATCATTCATTCAAGTAAAAATTATCATTATTACAGTATAATTAACTTATCATTAGGTGGTCAAATAGTTAGGTAGACCGTATGCAAGTTGAGAACATAAAAGATTCTTAGGCCTAACGCAATTGGCTATTTGGCTCAATCGCTCATGTGTGTGTGTAGTTCTGAAAATGCAAATTAATCTAGCAAAGATGATTTTGTTTTCTGAGACTGCTGAAAGTTCAGAGCAGATTGATCCTAGCTGAGATGAAGGAGAAATTATCCTAATATAGTCATACTATAAGAAAAAAGAGATGGCTTGAAGATAACCAAGCGGGTCAAAGCCTGTAGACTGTAGTAATTACAAAGGGTTGTCTGATTAGCTCAACTCATCCAGGTTAAGGATAGGCTGAAGGGTTTATGGGCACAATAATAACAGATCAGAAGCTACTATAGTAGAACATACTCCATAATTCATAAACATGGACAAATAATATTATGAGTATGATCCTTGATGTAAAGTGATACATCCATTGTGCCACCATAAGTGATGATGATTAGAATAAGTTGCAGGCAGAGAAACCGACTTTAAAAAAAAAAAAAAAAAGCAAAAAGAGGTCTGTCAACAGTACAACAAACCTTATAGCACTACAACACATGGCAGTGATAATTGATTAATAAAGAAGCATGCCATGGGAAACCATCCGAAGAAAAAAAAAAGAATTAAACTTTAAGTACATTTTTTATTTTGAAACTTTGGTGGCCTAAGAACACTCCAATCCAACTTTTCACACTTTGGTTGCTTCTGGGACTTCTTCTTGCCACTCGAAGATGGACCTTCATAGCCATGCACATTTTTATGTGTTTTGTTCGGCAAATGGACATCAGAAACTGTGTCTTCTTGCTTCCTCTTGTGATCCCCTGTTGCATCTGTGCTTGAGTTCTTCTGATTTGATGAGTTCTCAAGACCATCTTGACTCGAACCAGTTTCTCTGGAGCAATTAGGTTATACAAGAGCTAGATAAATTTCACATTTATATCTTTATAAGAAAGTTAAAGTAATCACGTATTATATATGTAAATAAAGCTCAGAACTAGAAGAAGATACTACTGGGAACTTGGCCAAATGAAACCTCAACATTTAAGTATAGATCAAGCACGAACTTTGAAATTTTTGAATAACTACCAAATTTATGTAATGACACCATAACCCATATATTTAGACTTCAAGCTAAATAAATGGTTTGCTTTAGTTTAATATTTTATATAAAAAATATCATTGAATAATAAATCAAGCAATAATGACGAAACCATTTTATTTGCAGTTAACCTAAAGACTGAAGTTACCTATTAGAAATTATTTCACTTGTTCCAGAAGTTGTTTCAGAGGCTTCTGATTTGCTAGGCTTTACACCATCTTCATTTAATTTCTATAAAAAATATTGCATGTAAGCAGACAGAAAGCCAGAAGAGTGAACTTAGAGAAACTTGTCAAAATATTTCAAGTCATTCAAACTGTATACTCACATCAATAGCAGGGTTAAAATTCTGGAATGACATCCGGCCCTTTCTTGCCCCAGGATGGGGATCTCCTTCCATAATAACGACACTGAAATTGGAAAGTCATGAAAATTTCATCTAACACAAAAAATAAATGGAATTGAAGTAATGGGAACCAAAAAGGAAAAATCTGAGAACATGCATTACTTAAGAAGGGAGACAGATTTTTAAATCTATATGCCCCACGGAGATCGCAATACCATGTACTGCATCCAAAATAGGAACACTACTTCCTCATAGTGTGATAGTGTTCGGATAATAGCCTTCATGAAACGACTTCAATTCTTTATGACATTGCATAATGCATATTCGATGGGTTAATTTTTATTAAATAGCAATTAGGCCTGCATTATTAGTGTTGGGCAGTAAAATAATGTCACATTCAATAGGTGAGGGTGGCTGAGTTGTGCATGTTGCGTTGGATATTTGGACATACGAAAAAAGACCATTTGAGGAATGGGAGCCAATGAGCAACACCTATTGAAGATAAGATACGAGAGTGATGCACCAATTCAACAAATCAAGAGGTGTGGAGAGGATGTAGGGAGAAGAGGGAGGGGACGACCAAGACAAATATGGATAGAGCGGTCAAATATGATAGGGTACCTCTTGGATTAAATGAAAGTATGCTTTTGAAAAGAGCGAAGTAGAGAGTATATGTGTGGAGATTGATATGATTTTGTTTGTCTCATTTTCTCCAAGGTATGAAATTGCGTATTGCGTAGTCGTGGCGTTTTTTTATTATTGCATATTGCGTAAGCCTCATTGCGCAATGAGGCGTAAACCTGAGGCCAGTGTTGTCGATGGCGTCAAATGGCGCGCGCGCCATGCGCCATGAGGCGCAGTTTTAACCCCTGCGCTACAGAAAAGAGCTGTGGCGAGGCAAATACACATGGCGGCGCCATTGTTGCGCCTTCGCCATACCTGCGCCTTTGCCATGGCGATGCGACTCCCTTTTCTAAAAAAAGGCCGCGTCTTTGAGCTGTAAGTTGTGGCCTTTTGGCCCATAATTATCTGCGACCCATTATAACCATAAAACTGTAACAAAAACTTACTATTTTTAGCCCATATTACTAACTACAACCCTAAAGTCAATAAACACAACAAAGTCAATATCCGGAAGTTAAAGCTGCTCTGCGCAAGAAAGGGTATGCGACAAACTACAGAAAGGCAAACGACAGAAAAGCTGCTCTACACATGACTCTCATTGACTTCTTCGAACTACACAAGGTACGACTACCTCTTTAATGCTGTGTATAAATGAAGAAAAGTTCAGTTTATACAGTTACAATTTATCCAAAACTTTATATATTATATATATTCCTGAAAATGTGAACTTCATTTAATACTTCATGTGCTATGAGTATTAAATACAGAGCAGCTCAGCCTTTACTCCTTAATGTTAAATGCATAATATATTTATATGCTATGAGCCTATGATACTTTATGTCTTTATCAATTTATCACTTTAAACTTTGAAATAAATTTAGTTAGATAGATAGATGCTATGATCAGATAATTTATCAATTCAAATACTTATAGCATAAGCATAGTAAAATGAAGTTTAAACAGAAAGTATTAAACTGATGCTAGTAATTTAAATAGCTAGTATTAAGATGCTAATATGATATCATGCTACATGCTAGTAAAATGAAGTTTTAAATAGTTTATCAATTTAGTTATAGCATTGTAAAATGAAGTTTTTACTTTAGAACTTAAAGTATTTAAAGTTTTAAACTGATAAACTGATACACTTTAATAAGTTAATTACTTAATTTAGTTAAAACTTTACACTTTACAGTTTAGAGTACTTGATACTAGAAGACATAACAAAATTATAACAGTTTACACTTAACAGTTTAACATATACAATTATACATAGATTTTAACTTATGAGTTATGACATTGATCTGTTTTATGTTAATTGTTATTACAGAGGTAACCGAAGAGGCAGAGCCACAAAGGATCCACAAAGGATGTCTGTTGCCTTTGCTAAGGAGTTCTGTGAGAAAGTAAAAGAAAAAAACAACAATGAATTGCGCTGCACGTACTGCGGGCACGTGACTAAAGGTGGAATTACAAGGTTTAAACAACACTTGACTGGGAAGCACCGCAACACAAAACAGTGTGAACTCATTCCCGCTGATAAGAGGGCTGAACTACAGGCGCTAGTCTTGAAAGAATCTGCTGCTAACTCAGAAAAAAATGTGTGTGAACAAACGTTTCGAAGTACATACACAGTACAGCAGTCTGGTGGGTCAAGTGCCAATAGGGTGAATGGAGATGATGACGTTGAGATAACTGGTTCTCAGTCAAATGCAGAGGGAGGTGGTGTGTCTGGGCCTATGGATAAGTTCGTATATCCAACAAAAAAACGTAAGAAGGAGGCATTGACACAATCAACAATCCCATCACACTTGAAGAAAAAAGAGAGGGATGAATATGCTCAAAGCCTTTGTTTGTGGTTTTACAGGAACAACATCTCCTTTAATGTGGTTCATGACCCTTTGCTGAAAGAAACACTAGAAAAGATTGGCAGGTTTGGAGCCGGGTTTAAAGCACCAACGTATCATGAAGTGAGGGAGACGTTCTTGCGAAAAGAGGTAGCCAAAACAGATCTGGTGGTCAGTGAGCACAAAAAATTCTGGGAATTAGATGGCTGCACTATTATGTCAGATGGGTGGCAGGATAAAAGGCACAGAACTCTAGTGAACTTGTGCGTGAATTCTAGCAATGGGACAGTGTTCATGAAAGCCGTAGATGCTTCATCTTACAAGAAGACCGGGGAAGCACTTTTCAAGCTCTTTGATGAGTGGATTAAAGAAATAGGTCCTCAAAGTTGTGACCGACAATGCTAAAAATTATGGATTAGCGAAGAGGAAAATAGAACAAAGATATCCACATATCTTCACAACGGGATGTGCAACTCACTGTCTTGACCTTGTTCTAGAAGACTTTTCAAAGAAGATGCCGATAGTTAGAAGAACTGTGAAGACGGCACAAGGGATTACTACCTACATCTATAGCCATACCCTTGTTCACGACTTGATGAAGGAATTTACCAAGGGGAGAGAGCTGGTTAGACCTGCTGCCACCCGCTTTGCCACTAACTTTCTGACTCTTCAAAGTCTTCTCACGCAGAAACACGCATTGAGGCAAATGTTTGCTTCACCGAAATGGTATGAAAGTGAGTTTGCAAAAACTACGGAAGGCAAATGTTTGATGAACTCAATGAGGATGATGTGCCATTGCTATCAGATTCAGACCAAGAGGATGAGGAGTGGGATGATTGATGATGATTATGGCATAATCATCAAACAATAACAAGCTAACAAGCCTAAATCCTAACATATTTTGCATGACAAGAAACTTCTTTTGAATATTAGGTTTTTTGGAAGTACTTTAAACTACTTTAAAGTACTTTAAACTGTTTTTGTGTTGTTATTCAACTTTTTATATTGTTTTGGTGGTTGTGTTGATCAAGTATAGTGTCTATAGTTCGTTTTTGTGTTTTTTTTTTGTCACGTGGCGACGCCATATTTGCGCCATCGCCATCGCCATGGGAAAAGGCTTGTGCGCCATGGCTGTCGCCATGCGCCATGACAACATTGCCTGAGGCGTGTGTGTGTGTGTATATATATATATATTTGTGTAGGTATTTATAAACACAATTAATAATAAATAAACATATAAAAATAAATTTAAGCCTAGTAAAATAATATGAAAATTCAAACCATAGACGACCACCCAAAAAAATCTGCAGAAAAAACATACTAAAATGCAGAAACGTAACAGATGGAAAATAAGAAAATATTAATATGCAGAAAACATTAAAAGTTGAAAAGTATTAACCTTATTATTACTACTATCGGAGTATATAACACTAAATATTAAATTAATATTAAAGTTGAATTTAACATTAAACATAACATCTGAATAAAATACTAATATACAGAAACAAAATTGATGAAAAATAATAAAATATTAATATGAAGAAAATATTAAAAATTGAAGAATATTAACATAAGAAGCGGAGGAGGCTCTACCATAGGAGGAGGCATTGTACCGTCAAAATATTAACAGTTGAAGCAAATAAAAAAAAGCTTTAGAGGAGATAGTACCATAGAAGAGGAGGCTATAGTTGCTGAGAATAAGCAGGAAGATGAACGGAAGAATGAAAAGAATATGAAGTACGTGTATATGTTACGAATAAGGGATGCTTCTGTTAAGTCTTTTGTTAAAAAACTCTGGGCAGAATGGGCCGAAAAAGCATTATGCAGCACTGGCAGCAGGCCTAATATACCGTACGCCTCTAGACGCCTCATTGCGCAGGTGAAATTGCGTACGCCTCTGCGCCCTGGAACGTACGCCCCAAGCCCATCCGCCTTATGCAATGCAATCTTACGCAATTTTCCTGGAAGTATTTGAGGCGCGCAATAAGGCGCAATTGCATTGCGCAATTGCAAACGATGATTTTCTCTCTATGTATTGTTTTTAACTCCGATATCATATATCACTTCATTTTAGCCGACCCCAAAGTCTTTTGGAATTAAGACTTGAGTGTTGTTGTATTGCATAGTGCAGTACACGTAAACAAATTGTCTAATCTACCAGTTCCCATACAACACATTCATATATAAATTACTAAGTTGAGGTAATAAGTACTCATCAACTAGAGCCCCAAGAATAGAATCTTTGTCTCAAACGACCCCAACCCCGCCAACCACCTCAATGACCCCATGAAATCCCCCAATGTACTACTCCCTAAACAGAAAATTAAATGGTAAAGACTAAAAATAGAGTTAGAGTTTGATGCCAATACAATCCCTAAGGGGAAGACTAGATAGATTGTAAAACAATATGATACTTCAAGACTTCAAGTTCTTCAACACAGTATTGTTTACACTTCAAAATAAGATTATATATCGATCTGTATGTAGATGAAGATTGCAGAAGAAAGAATTACCATCTTTTGGGAGCACTTGAAGATGGTAAGTTACCACCAGGCATGCTGTCTTCAGCTTGCTTAGCTTTTCCCTCTCCGTTGTTTGATGCTCTTTGCATAAACTGCAATAAAGGACAGCCATTTTTTGGAATAAGCAAGCAACTTATTAGAACTATATTGGAGGCAAAGAGTCTAATAGTTAATCTCACAAATCACAACCTATCAAGAGTCATTTAAGACTACACAACAACTACCAAGCCTTAATACGAAATCGATGGGGTTAGCTAGAGTAACCAATACAAATTCCAGCGTGTGCATCCACTGAAATCCTATTTCCATTCCTTTCGTTTTTTACTAAGCTCAAATTCGAATAAAAAGACTGTCTTGGAGTACATTGTCTACCACAATAATCTTTAAAATGCAGTAGAACAGATAAGAACAGGAACCCAAATAATGAGTAATTACTGGATTGGTTTTAGTAAACCCACTTCAAATCTTTCAAGTATACCATTACATGAAAACATCTCCCAGACATCAATATTTCTCGGTCAAATAAAAATTACCTTCAAGTTTTTTAATGTACTGGATAGCTCGCGCTTCGCCATTCTGATCTCCGGCGACTCTGTAGGCATACAAATGAACTTAACTGGCAGGACACTTGCTACTTTTCCGGTCTATGTATTCTATTCGAGAGGTTGGAGTTCAGCGATGACCGACCGGCGCGTCGTGACTCGTGAGAGAACAGACCGTAAAAAATCTCCCAGGTCGAGAGAAGGGGTTTCAGAGCGAAGTTCCGTTTCCAATATAATGACCTCCGTACCCCTTGAAGTCCTAACATCTAAAAGTTCGACTCTAATAGTCTAATTAATTTGGAATAATTAGAAGTTCAAACTCTAATTAGAATTTGGAAAAAGAGTGAAATAAGCTCTTCTACTATTTTCAATCCATCATTTAAGTACATCCACTAAAAAAAGAATTATATAAGTATGTATACTTTTAAAATGCAATCAATCAAGTAATATATCATCTACAGTAATTTCAGCTAAGACAGCCAGAAAAGTAATTTCAACCTTATTTTTTTATTACTCCGTATTACATAATTCAGCGTGTGAAATAAAAAATTATGTGTTTGGCGAAAAAAGTGACAGATAAGAATGATAAGCCGAAAAATAAGTTCATAACCTAGTCTACATACAAAATCTAGTCACATTTTTTATAGAAACAAAGCACTTCGTTGTTAAAACAATTTTCTTTTTTCAAAATATGGTAGGACATTTTTATTTTGGAATTTTATCGGTCCAGGACCTCAAAGATGAGCGTTCTATCAATTAGGAACCCGAAAGATAAACTCTATCAATTAGGGGCCTATATTATTACATTCTATCAATATAATGCTCGAAATTTTAACACCGTTAACATGCAACTTACGGTATCTGATGTGGCGCCACCTAAGTAAAAAAATACATATTTAATAAGAATATAATGAATCGGAAACCCAAACCCAGAATTGACTGCTTATACGCAGCCGCCTATATACATATCTTCAACTTATACGTAGCCGCCAATCCCAAATCCAGAGTCCACTGCTTCCTTCTTCGCATAGAAGATTCTGCTATTCCTATCAAAGGTTTGTATTTTCTGACAGTCCTTGTATCACATCCCTAATCAATTACAAATATAATTTTCTTTCACCGTCACAAAACTTTGGACATGCTCCTGCAATTAATAAACATTAAGTATGGTAATCTTGATTTTTTGCACCAAATCACTCTGTCATATCATACTTTGACATTAATCATATATTTATATATTTTCTTTTTCTTTTGCTTTGTAAGATATCATGAAAGTTGCTATGTAACAGTTTTTCAAAATAATTTGTAACTTAGGTTTTACCATGAGATAACCTATAGACCTTTCACAAAAATATATTATAACCATAACTGAAACATAAAGTGAATCAAATCAGATTTACAAAACTGAGCAGAATGAATTGGAGCACTAGAAAGAACTTACCTAAAATCAAAAATCATAGATCGCACATGCCTAAATTGAAGTAATTTGTGTGGTATAATTCTAGATTATTTTATTGTGGAGAGTAATTGATTTGGATATATATTAAATAAATATAATTATTAATCAATTTTGTAGTTATGTTTTAGTTGTTTAAGAATATTTTGATAGTTGTGTTAAAATTTTGTTCACAGATGGCAGCTCAAAGCGATGACTGGAGTTTAGATGAATACCACAGCGATGAAGACAAACAACTAGCATGTTGGTCACGTGCCACGAATAATGCATTTTCTAAATATCGTGACACAAGTGACTTATCTGATATCTCCGAGCGAGCTACAATAGAATCTTTGGCAGAATTAAAGAGCATCCATGATTCAGATTCTCCCGCAAGTGAAGATGAAGCTGACTCTGCGCATATGCAAGCAACTCTCGGGGAGGTCAACTTCAGACTGGAACAATCGTATGCATCTATAGATGATTTTTACGAAGCTGTTAAAAGCTACGGGGTTCAGAATATGTATAATCTGACCTTTCTGAAGAAAGATAAGATAAGATGTCGTGTAAAGTGCGTGCATGATTGCCCGTGGCTTATATACTGTTCCAAAGTTGGAAGTTTAGAAACCTATAAGGTCAAAACATTCATTTCTAGTCATACTTGTCAGAAAGAGGGAGTGAAGGCAAATTTTGCTGATACTAAGTGGTTGGGAAATAAGGTAATTGAAGACTTCAGAGAACACCCAAACATGACAAGTCCAGAATTGAAAGATCTTATATATAAGAAATGCAATGTCACAGTTAGTATTGCAAAGGCTTATAGAGTAAAATCATATGCATTGCAATCACTTCATGGCAATGTTGCTCAACAGTATTCTAAATTACCTAGTTATTGTGCGGAGTTATTGAAGACCAACCCTGGATCAAGTGTTGAATTAATTTGTCCAAAACATGGTGAGAATGGTCCATCAAGATTTGATAGAATATATATATGTATAGATGCGTGTAAAAAGGGGTTTATAAATGGAAGTCGGCCACTAATTGCACTAGATGGATGCCATCTAAGTGGGTATTATCGTGGTCAATTACTTGCAGCAGTTAGTCTTGATGGGAACAATGGTCTATTCATTGTAGCATATGCTATAGTTTCATCTGAAACTAGAGAGACATGGGTGTGGTTTTTAAATAACTTGATGGCTGATATAGGACAAACATCCATTCGTGGAGAGGGTTGGACATTCATTTCTGACCAAGGAAAGGTAAATATGATTCACAGAATTATTAAAAAATGTTTCTTATTTTGTTATGTTATTAGGATTTATAGTTTTCACTTGTTTCATATTTTTTAATTACATTATAGTTTATACATATATACGGTTTACAAATTGGTTTCATATTTGTCTTCATTGATAGGGTCTTGTGGCTGCACTAGAAGAAGTGTACCCATCTTCACATCATCGATTTTGTGTACGCCACATGTATACCAACTTTGAGAAAAAATGGAAGGATGAACAATTCAGATCTCTATTTTGGTTAGCTGCAAGATCCACAACCACTAGTGGTTTTGACAGACACATGAATAAGATGAAGGATAAAGACTACAATGCATGGGAATATCTAACTCAAATAGGTGTTGAGAGATGGAGTAGAGCACATTTTCAGAATCATGTCAAGTGTCATGTGTTCTCAAGTAGCATAGTTGAGTGCTTCAACGGAGTCATAAAAAGATATAGAGACAATCATGTGGATATGCTTATTGACAATATAAGGATTAAAGCAATGAAATTAATGAAGAAGAAAAGGGAAAAGATGAGGTTGAAGGGTGGATCAATATGTCCGGAGATACTAAAGAAGTTGAATGAAAACATCATGGAATGTACTAGGTGGAATTCAATTTCTTGTGGTGAAGTTATTTTTTAGGTTGCTCTATGGCCTAAAAGGTTTATTGTGCATCTTCAAAACCACACATGTACTTGTAGGTTATGGGACTTGACAGGTGTACCTTGTATCCATGCTTGTGCTGCTATAAAGTCAATCAAAGACAGGCCAGAAAACTATATACATGAATATTTTACACGAGAATATTTTTTCAAGGCCTATGAGTACGAAATAAATCCAATGGGAGGCCCTGGGATGTTTGGCCTATAACTGAGAATGAGTCAATTCTACCACCTTTGCTAAAGAGACCTCCAGGTAGGCCAAAAAAGCAAAGACACAAATCTTCATTAGAAGGAAAGGATCCCCACAAAGCTAAGAGAAAGTATGGAATGATTAAGTGTGGTAAATGTAGACAACTTGGCCATAATAAAAGGTCTTGCAAAGAGAATCAACAGGTATGAGTTTTATAGCTAATCCATTCATACTTTGCACTGTTCATATGTCACACTGTTTTTCTTGGCAGGAGTTAACACGAGGAACATAATTACATTTTTCGTATGTCATTCTGTTTTTCTTGACAGGAATTAACTTGAGGATGTTCAGTTTTAACAAAAGAAGAAGAAGAAGAAGAAATCTTTGGCAAGATAAGGACAAACAAGTGATTCTGGTAAAGATGACAACATACAGTAGCAGAAGAGATGTTTCATTTTGATCTTTGCTGTGATTAGCACATCTTAAAGGACTACTTCATTTATAGCGCACTAATTTCATTTTAATCTTTTTAAGACAAATTCCTTGAACTACTTACTAAGATGGAGTGTTTCAGTTTTTTAAAGGTATTTGTTTGAATTAAAAATTTCATTTATACCAATTCATTTGACATTTCATTTATAATGTTTGAATTTATATCATTTTTGTGTGTCCTTTTAATGATGCAGTCTCTTTATACAATGTTTTTCCTATAAGTAAATAAGCCTATTACCAGTGTACCGATTGATTAAGCAGTTATGAATTTGATAGTGCGAAGTGGATCACTTGGAAGATGTACTTTGTACTATCATATTCACTTGCCTCATCATCATTGAATGTTTTGAATGATTGGAAACCTGCAAAACAAAGTGAATTTTTTTTACAAGCTGTGTACCGGTACAAAGCTTTATACCAAGAATCACAATATTGATTAACCTCTCAAGCAATACAAAAGAAAACAGATAGAAAAGCATACATGTATACATTTGATGTTAATCAAATCAGCTTTACTGAGACAGAGCATGTCTTCAAAACAAAGCCATATTAATAAGAACTATAGCAAAATTTAACACTGCTAGGATCTCTGCAAATTCATACTTCCATTTAAAAAAAATAGTACAATATGTTGATAAGCTTACTGGAGAACAAAAGATAAAAACTTGATCCGGCTACTATTCACTTAGACTTCAGACCTACCATAAAATTTAACAAATTGTAACCATAAAAGAGAAGTTGGGTAAACATCAATTTTAATACATAAACACTGCCATACACATCATCACTTTTTGAAAAAGAAGTAAAAGTATTCTGCGAAGCCAAACTATAAGTATGAATCGTGATAGCTACCAACAAAATGTACTGGGTGATTCTTTACTTCTATGCACTTTGGTTCTGCTACACTCTAGCCATCAAATGCAGCAATAGTATAAGCCGGCTAAGCTTGACAACTTCTCTAATAAATATATGCTTTTTATGTACCTGTTTGCTAAATCCTCTTTTTGGTTAATCATTAAAAAATAAGAGAGGAAAAGCTTTTACTACTAAAAATCATGTATGTGCTTTAGTAAAAATTCAAAGTACTCTACTAAAAAGTAAAAACCAGTCTCATTAGATCAAGATAAAGCTAAATGAAAGTAAGAAAGGTAGAATCCATATAATTCAAAGTTCAGGACAACTAAATTTTGTTGAACATACA